ATAAACTAAATTCTCACATCATATAGTCGGTGTGACTAAGCATCTCAATTTATGCACGGCGGGGAAGGTCCTGTTAAAGATGGAAAAGTTCAAGGCAACTCACTCTACATCGGGTACCTCCGCTAGTGTATCATAAAGAGAATAATTTTTGGTATGTTATGCGGCCATTGCATCTTTTTCTCTGTTCATGCAATAATAATATTTAGTAAGTAGTTTGAGTTTGTCGAAACTTTCTCTTTTGAATCAATAAACGCTTCCATCCGCGTAATGATTTTTGAACAGCTTTTGATTAGCTTCGACAAACTGCCACTAGCCCAAAGGTGTGAAATGCCCTTTGCGCGACATCCTATACTATCGTTGTAGGTACCTTCTTTCAACATACTATGCTCTTCCGGCTAACCGTTAAAACCAGATGTGAATTACAAGCCTGTCATTTTAATAAGCGAACCGTTTTAAGGAAAAGAAAACTAGAAAACGAATATTAAGCTAACATGAATGTGATGTTTAAGATTATGATAAGATACATATTTTTATAGTTGATCTCAGCGAAAAAGTTGATAAAGCTGCAATTTTGAACGTAAATTGCAGAGAAAAACGGTTTTTGACAGCAACATTTCTAGGATTCGCATTGCTCATTGATGACCAATGGATATTTTCATGCTCTGACAAATCAGAACGTATCGTTCTTTAATGCGATAGCGGCTGTCTTTAACAACACAAGATAAATTGACGGATATTAGGATAGAAGCCAGTACACGTGTTTCCTCTATATGAATGGGAAAAAATTGGCATTAGATTGCATCATTATCTTTAAGATGGATGCTGTAATACAGGTTCTAAATAAACTACAAGATGTTTTTAATACTGTGGGGTCTGAGTCCATTCAACTTCCACAAATTGTGGTTGTTGGCTCTCAAGTATACTTTTTTATGATGCTGTGATGCTTGAAGATAGACTAATTTTTTCTTTATTTAAATAGTGTCGGTAAAAGTTCCGCTCTCGAAAATCTTTTTGGTCAAGATTTTCTTCCACGCGGTGCTGGAATAGTTACCCGGAGACCATTGACATTACAATTAGTATACACTCTACCAAAAGACAAAGAAATGGAATGTAATCATTTAGGAGTACCAGTGCCTGAAGAAGATGAATTTGCAGTATTTACACATATTAAAGGAAAAGTTTATACAAATTTTAACGAAGTAAGAGACAAGAAATAGAAGCTGAAACAGATCGTATGGGAGGGGAAAAGGTATAAAAAAATTATTAATTTATATTATTTAAAAACATTTAGTTCTATTGTGTTTTTAAGAATATCTCACATGAACCGATCACATTGAAAATATATTCACCAAAAGTTGTAACACTAACACTTGTTGATTTACCAGGACTGACAAAGGTAAGTTAAATACACTATAAGAAATTATTGTATTCGATTTTTAAATGCTTTATTTAGATACTAGTCGAAGATCAGCCAGTTGATATTGAACAACAAGTACGAGATCTAATTATGCATTACATAACAAATCCAAACTGTATCACCCTTGCAATAACACCGGCAAATGTCGATTTTTCAATATCAGAAGCTGTCAAATTTGCAAAAGAAATAGATCCGGAAAGTATTAAAAGTCTTTTTTAAAGTCGCTCGACCGCCATCTCAATTCGTCTCATATCTATCCATGTAGCCTCACATGGCTCTACGGGTATTATATATGTATCATAAAGAGAATAATTTTTGGTATGTTATGCGGCCATTGCATCTTTTTCTCTGTTCATGCAATAATAATATTTATTAAGTAGTTTGAGTTTTTTTCTATATTTCAACTATTTGTCATCAGATGTACACATAGATAGAAGCAGAAATTGTTTATTGAATTTAACTAAAATGAAAAATAAATTTTTTCGTGACGTTTCAAAACATATAATCGAAAAAGTATTGTAAATTAAAAATTATGTTCATTCTATACACAAATATATGATATGTTCCAAATTAGAATCAAAATCGTTCACATTTTCTATGATAAAATGACTTCTAGGACTTAATAATACTTCTTCTTCATCTCGAAAATGACCTAACATTGAGATATAAGATATGATAAATTTTCATCAGGAATTTTAATTTCAAACAATGTATTTCCAAATAATAATGCTGTTTCTTTATTTAAAGTTATCGATATAATGATTCTCATGATGAATATTGTTCATTATTCATATTTCTCATATAACCGTCAGTCATTTCTTCAGTCAAATTTGCTCCACCGTAGACAGTTCTAATTTCATTGTCACGATTATCTCGAAGATTGCTCCACCGCAGACAGTTCTAATTTCATTATTACGATTATCTCGAAGATATCGATATAACAGCAAACAAAATGGTCCGAATGTTCGACCATAGATTTTATCTCTTTCCGATACAAACATTAAATATCCATTGCTACTTATATAATCAGCTTCTCTCATTACTCTATTAAGCAATTTATAGAGAAAACTTTTCATTGTATATAATCGAATGCAACATTTACCTATTTCTTTTTCATCTTTTTCTTTAACTTTTTTCAATTCATTTGCTATCCATTTAGCTTTATGCAACTTATTTAATTTTTCACCTTCTAATATTCCCATAACAGCTTTGTTAACTAATCCCATAGAAATATTTCTTCGTCCAAATTCTGATGCCCAAAGAAATTTAGAGAAATAAGAACCACTGTTATGAAACGATTTGTTGTTAATTTAGGTGCAATCATAAATCGTTCTTCTCTCATACATTGACTATTATCTATTTTTGTGACCCGTTTGATCGATTTTTGTTTATATGGATTTTTTATATTAACTTGTAAATATTTTTCAAAATCAATAATATTTTCATTATCTATTTGAATTTGCTTCATTTTTCCTTCTTGATATGCATGTTCTATTATTTCATTTTTAATATCTGAATAAGATTTTCATTCAATATTTGATGATATATTTGATAGAGAATCAAGATTTTCATTAAAATACCAGATAAATCGTACTTGGCTTTCCTGTATCAGTAGTAATTGTTTGCTCGAATTCATATCCTCCATCTAAATATTTTTTACATAATATATCTGTCAGGAAAACCACATGTGGTTTTCCTGATTTCCTAATTTTGTACATGCTTAATCCTGCATCAAGTGAAATCTGCAGATTTCACTTGATGCAGGATTAAGCATGTACAAAATTATTTCTAATTGTGCACACTCGATTCAGCATTGTTAATTAATCAGAAAAAGAATCGAAGTTTCCACAAGTGTTTTTTCTCACTTTTCAATAAATTCAAATGTATCCAATTTTGTGTTTCAAAATTGTATATGTTTAAATCTTTAAGTTTTCAGCGGGATGAGGATTCCATTATTGTCTAACTGTATTAATATCCCTGCTTAGGACTAGAAAACAGGAGAACAAGTTCTTGTAACATGCGTCTTTTTAGTCAAGAATCTAAAGATAAACATATATTGAAACATCGTTAGCTATTCTGTGTAAAACTGAAATATATAGTGGTAAGTAATTTAGGATAAGGAGACAGTGACGGAGGGAATTATTAGGAAAGAACCAGAGGCGATCAGGAAGAGGATGGACTCCCACGAGCGGAAGTTTCAGCAGAGGTCGTGGGGTGTGGTTAGGGTGCATAATCAAGCCGAAGAAGGTAACGATAAATAGAAATGTCAGCATAAACAATGTCAGCGGATAGATTGAGGCTTGACGAAATTCTTAGAAACTATGTATATACTGTAACAAAACATCGAATTAACGCAGATACACGGAAAAATACGGCTCAAATAGAAATGGAATCAAAGTTTGTCACAAAAAAAAAGTCGCGTTTAGTGCAGACACAAGTTCATAATATATATTCTGGAATAATGCTCTTACTGTCTTCTATTCAGTAATGACAATTCCACTTGTTTTCTTGAAAAAGATGTCACATCGTACTCTATTAGTTAACATGAGTTGAAGATCGGACGAGGACGCTTATGAAAGAGAAATTTTCATGTTTATGGTAAAGCTTCTCTCTCTTCGGGAGCAAATAAGCCCATTTGTCAACTACGATAGTGTATATGGATTTTCATAAGTTTTGAGGTGAGTGCTTTTGCCAGCGGTCACCTTGTATATAATGTGCATTAGAGGATGAGAGTGGGAATGTTAGTTTTGGTAGCTATGTTGGCTACTCTAAGCAAAGATACTTGGAAATTATATCATTAGTGTCGCATGTATGAGAGTATATCGAACAATGTAAATCATATTTTGATATATTTGCTGTATTTTTGAAAAAATCCTTTTGGTCGAGTGACACAATAACCTTCGTGTAATGTCACATTAATTTTAGCTTTATCGTTTTCGCATAAGAAAATATATACTCGTGCATAATTCTTTTGAAATGAGGAAAAATGTACCAGCAATCAAGTTGTATTACGTTTCTGCAAGGATTAAATATAGCTAGACGAGGATGCTGAAGGAATTTGGTTGTGATAAAGTAATAGATTTAAGGCATTCTGACAATTACATAAGGTGAGAACACAATTACAATAAGGAGTAAAGATTTCTTTTTAGTGTTGAATATAAATGGAATACTATTGCCGTTTGATAAGGTGAAACAAACGTGTATTGTCGCATATTACTGACCTGTATGTGACTTTTCATCAATGTGAAAATATTACAAAACTTTTAAGTTTTTGAAATCTCATACCTGGATAATAATTTTGATCCAACAAATATTGTATCTATGGACAAAGTGGCTTTATCATCCTTCAAAGTTGTGTGTTTAATGCGAACGGAATAATGTCAGATGAAGCCTTTTGGCAGCGTATGTGGCTAAAAGCAATCTGGAAAATGAGTCAAATAACAGTACTTATTCTTGGATAATAGCATAACATTTGAATATAGTATGAACATGAAATATCATGTCATTATTATATCCGACACTTATCGAAATATGAAGGAATTATATGGATCTAACTTTGCTTACGCAACACATGGAGATTCAGTATACAAGTAAAGTCTCGTAGGTGCTGAACAGACTTTTATGTAATAATAGCGTGTTTGGTAAGCTCTTCCTCTGCTTCTACTACAGTTTTCAAATATCTGAAAGGCACTTTCTGCTTATCGGTGTCAAAAATTTTTGATCCCGTGTTAGCCTGAAAACTTTCTCTTTGGGCTGAGTTGAGGTAAAGCCTTTTGTTGAAATCAGATAAAGAGAAGACCAAGATGTCTATGAGAACTCACGGTTTCTAATTTATGGATACCGAGATATAATGGTAATGGATCAGATATCGTACGATGTGGTGTATAAAAAAACATTTGAACGCATTTGTTAAGATTGATTGACAAGAGCCAGTTATTTGGCCATTCTACAATCAATTTTAGATCCTCGTTCATTTGGCCAATAGCTCTAGGCATATTCGCAGCGGTTTCGTATATAGAAACATCGTCTGCGAAAAGGTTACATGAACGTTTGAGACCAAGTGTTAAATCGTCGATATATATTAAAAAAAGAAGTGGTCCAAGCGCCGAGCCTTGGGGAATCCCACAGGTAATATCATTAACATATTAACATCTGAATGAAAGTCTTCGACAAGTGTTTTAATCTTACGATCGTGGATATAACTTTTAAACTAATTTATTATTGTCATTAGCATTCCTTTATTTCGAAGTTTTAAGAGTAAACCTTCATGACTCACTTTGTCGAAGGCTTTAGAGAAGTCAATAAAAGAGGCAACGGTTGACTCACCGGTTGTGAATCCCTGAGCTATGTGAAGAACCATGTCTATTAATTGACCTGTTGTTGAATGACGTCGTAAGAAGCCAGACTGATGCTCAGAAATTAACTTTCGCGCAACAAGAAATTTGAAAATTCGATTAAAAACAAGCCGTTCAAAGACTTCTGACACTGAGAAAAGTAGAGTTATTCGACGATAATTATTGACGGAATGGATATCCCCAGATTTGTGTAGTGCATGAACATATCCTACTTTCCACATAGATGGAAATATCTCTAATTGTAATGATCTGTTAAACAAGAAAGCAAGAGAATGTACTATAATGGCTGCAGCCTCTCGTAACATTCGACCTGTCATTCCGGGTACAACAGCTTTAGTACTGGAAAAAGTATTTCCATCTAGTTTTTGTATTTCTGCATTTAAACAGATTCTCTATTTTTGTTTGTTACTTCATGCGTTGTTGATAACCTCGTCGGAAAAAAATTAAAAATAAATTTCATTTCAGTTTATGAATGCAACTCAAAAATACTCAAACACGAACAGAGGCGTAGTCCTTCAGGGCACATTAACACATAGATATCGCTGGTGGTATAAAACGATGAAAATTTATCAATCGTAGTAATGGAATCACTTACAAAATACTATATGAGTTCCATGCCATCACCTGAGAATACGCTTGTGTTCATGCTATCATTGGTAATTTTCGAGATCTAAACTATGTGTTCTGATCATATGGAAGAATCAAGACATATTACATATATTTGCCCGTGATCTTTTCTATGCTTTTGACATAAAACGACTTATTTTTCGTAACCAAGATCTTTTATATACTTTTCTTCAAAATTTTGTCATCCAGGATCTAAAGCATGCTATTTCCGTGATGATTTCTCATTTTGTCCAATTAAAAAGTTCAATTGCCACACAAAATAACACATAAAAGATAACTTTTGAAAAGTTCTTTGGATGTTCTAGCCGTCTGAACTTCTTTTCTATCCTTATCCAGCTTCTTCTGGCCTTTCTCTGGCCACATTACATGGATGGACCCCAAATTGTGATGGATGATGTTCGTGGTTTCAGTAACTTTCTCAAATTTTCAGCCTAGATGGATTTCTGAATAGCTGACACTGATTATTATTTAAACAATTACAATACAGCTACCAAGAAATAAATGTATTCATAGTCATTTTAGGTAAAAAAATATGAAAATTCACAATTAATCTGTTTCAATGTCAAATAAATTAACTTAAAAGTCATAGAGACTGTGCGGATACCACGTGATCACGGGAGGGGTAACGGAAAAACCACGTCTGATCACGACGGAGGTACGGGGGGGGGGGGGACGTGTTGTTGCCCGGGGGGAAGGCCTTTTATGGGAGGCAACCAGTTTAGCTGTGGTTTTGGTTGTTTTTTGNCCCCCCCCCCCCCCGCCCCCCCCCCCCCAACCCCCCCCCCCCCCCCCGCGCCCCCCCGGCCGCGCCGAACTGATTTATCCACGTGGTCAATCCATTTATAGGAAGCAAACACTATAACTCTGCTTCATCTTATCTTTTTCCTTTCTTTCTATTTTCGCTCTCTCAGCGGTAATTGTCACACTTCAGAGGTATTACCTCTTATACAACTGAAATACTAATAGTAAAAAACAAATTAATTCTTATGAGAATAAATTAAATGAATGTTCGAAATAATAATATTAATGAAGGTTAATAAACAAGCGTTTTTAAGTATGTATACTGTAAAAGTTACAGTGTTGTTTTTCAAAAAAAATAGAATTTCAAATTAGCAAATTCAAAAATGATAATAATAACACTGTTATTAATAAACGCATCTTTCATGCATACATTTATACATGCTTCCTATGAAGGCGAATTATAAACAAAGTTTATTCAGCATCACAATTAAGCATATTATTAAGATTCGACACGCGGAAGTTAGAGGTTCATTTATGCACATATTCATCGTTGTCAGAGAACTAGGTGCAAAGAAAAGTATAGTTCGTGGCAGTTTGTCTTACAGAGAGAAATCGTACTAGCAGCTGTGAAATATAAACCTATTTAATTTTTTTCTTGACAAAAAGTCACGATAAAAAAGCGCATTACATAGTTTTTCGGTGTTCAGAACATATACTTAAGTTTTTGTGTTTCGTCAAATTAATTTATCTTTTCATGTTTTATGAGATTGTTACAAATAATTTGGAATATCTAATATTTCCGTTAGATCGTTCAATCACCGGATCAAGAGTTCACTTACTTATAAATATTCGACGAATAAACTTATTCATCATTTAGTTTTTTGTTAACAGAAGACATGTATATGTCTATTTCTGTCTCTCCGTACCACCAGTTCTTTTAATTAAATTTTAATTTTAAAATCATCGATTAGATTATGGATTGATTATTTCCGACT